TGAATTCTGCATGATGACGCCAACCGAGTGGAACTTATAATATCTTTTAAAGTAGTAACTGCGCATCCTACTCCGCAAGAATTTTTGGAAGCATCAGTGTAAAGAACTAAATCAAAAGGTTTTTTGTCTAGTATTTCTAGGAATCCTTTCTTTGTAAGAGTAATGGATGTATCATATGTGTTCTAAATGGTGAAGGGGTGTTAAATAAAGGAAGGTGTTTGATCCAGGAAGAGGGGATTTATAGATAAGATAGGTCGGGTGAAGGATAGGTCAGTGTTCTTTAATAGACGGGCGAGTAATTGCGGGAATGGCTCTATAATTGTGCTAGGGAGTTGCTAATGGAGTAATCAGGACAGAGGTCAGAAGATGGTAAATGGGGTTGGAAGGATTACCTGATGTAGTGGTAGCAGATGATAGAAGCACACGTTGTCCTCTAAGGGATAGAGGTGCTCGCCTTTCCTGCGGGCTGGAGCGAAAAGCTCCGAGGCATAGACGAAGAGCAGTATTTTGGATAGAATCTAATAGTTTTAGGTCAGATTTGGAGATGGACATTTAAATAAAGCAGCAGTAATCTAATTTGGATCGTATCAGAGCTCTGTATACTGTAAAAACTACATTCTCATCAGCACTTTAACAAAAGTGTGAAAGAGTTTTAATTAGGTTGAGTTCCTTAAGGCAATAGAGATAAGATTTAAGTAATGTTTTCAGTTCAGTCGAGAATCACAGATCATACCCACAATGTTACAAATTATCAACTACAGGTCCGGGATCGTTGTTGATTGAGAATATTGGAGCGGGAGAGGTGGCTTTTCTAATGAATTTAATAACTTTGGATTTTTTTTTATTCAATTTTGACAAAACGAGAATAATGAATACAGTTTTTAAATTTCAGGAAGCAAATAATTTATTTTAAAGTTTAATAACTATTTTTAGTATAAAATCAAACGACAGATGTCTGGATGGATTAATTGTCTCTGTACGGAGAGTAAGGTCCAAAAAAGAGTTTAGTTAAAGACTTGGGTGGTTAAAAAATACATGTTTCTGAAGGAGTTTGATTTTGTTATGGTCGAAGATACATGTGAGAAATTCAAGGGCGAGAAAGAGATAAATATAAATAAAGAAAACAGGAATACTGTTGACTCATTGTGTCACTACAAAACTAAAACTTGTTCATCTCGCCCTTGTAGATTAAATCACACATTGACAAATTTTCCTTTGTTTAATTTGGAAGTTTTCTCAACATCGCTCTGTATAATTTTTATTGATATTTTACTTCCGTATCATTGTAAATTATGTATTAATAGTTCTAACAAATATTTGCTTGTTCTTAAGCTAATAATTACAGATAAAGCCGGCATATCAATAACTCATTGCCCGTATTAATGTCCAGATGCACGTAATTTTTTTTTAAACAAACAAAGATAACTGAAGTCATAAGCCGCAATTTCCTTCCTGAACGGTCAAAGATAAACTTCGAATGTCAATTATAAGTAATTAACAATTGTCGTACGCTAATATAATTATTAAAGTTCGATGTGATTATTGTATCGAAAAAAACTTTTGTTTTTATTGTAATTATGATACGTCAGTATCAGTTAATAATGAGATGGTTGTTTGTTGTGTTTCGATTTTTATGTTATTAATATTTCTTGCGATAAGAAATTTTTCTAAAATAAATGTAAATTAAATACTTCCTTAACAAATTTATTTGTTTATGCTAGCTGTGATGTATATCAGCATAAGTAGAATAACAACTTATACTTATTACAAGAGTATTATTTCTTCTTTGCGTTGCTTATCCGCTTTGAAATTTGGATATCATCAAAGCACTCTCTAAACTGTTGCAACCGTGGCATTTTTCTTTTCCCTATACTTTTTCCCACACTCTTTCATTCGATGATATTTTGCCAAGTTAGTATATATCTTCACTCAAAACATATTTATCTATTTTAGCAGTATTGTAGTTTTCGAGTTTTGATGGTTAACTGTAATTCCTTTTCTTCTTTGGTTCTTCTAAGTACCTTTACATTTTATATTTTATTATCCATATATTTTTAGTATCCTTCTATACATTCATAACTCGTACACTGCTATCTTATTGCTAAAGTATATCTTCACCGTCCTAGTATCTACGCCATATAGTCAGTATCTCACATCATTATCATCATCATGATCACAGTGTTACAGCCCTTAAAGAGCCTCAACCTTCTTAAACTTTCTTCGCCAAGCTCTCTTCGCACTTTCCTTTGCTTGGATTTTTCAGTTGGCAACACCGACCTTCTCAGCATCCTTTGTTACCCCATATATTTACCTCATCTTTGGTCTACCCCGTCTCATTCCCACCGGTTGCGCTGTTAGAACTCTTTTTTATCATGTTCGGATTCCGGGTCCTTGGCTACATCTCCTGTCCACTGCAGACGATTTCGCCTTATTATAGTGGTAATATATTTTCCATAAAACTTATGCTTGTAGATATTATGCAGTTCAAAGTATATCTACACCTCGACGTTCCCTTTTCACAGACCGCTCCGAATATCTTCCGTAGTACGTTTCTTTCAGAAATCAATAGAGATTTGTTTGCATAATGTCGGTTCCTGTAAATCGCGTATCTTGAATGGCTGCAATGTTTATTTAATATCTTTAGAGCAACTTTAGTCTCGCTGTCCTATACAGCGTTCTCACATTCTAAGTACTAATATTTAAGTCATTATCCTTAGTTCCGTGCCTTGTATCGTCTCGGCTTTTTGTTTGAGATTTCGTAACAATAGATTTTTATGGGATAAGTGAGTTAGCCTCATGCTCAACCCCCAACCTGGAGGCCAGGGCTCCTCTGTTAGGGTTACCATAGCTTAACCAAGATCGTCCAGATTTAAGTCGCTGGACTCTACCCATCCCTACGTAGGTAGGATTTGCTAGTGGCATCTACTACTAGAAGTCTACAAGTGCAGACTCAGATATTACTTGTCATTTATTGACAGCGTCCACTTTGCATGGATACTATCAACATCACCTATCACACTAGCCATTTATCCTTCTTCTTTCTTTCGGGCTTGGGACCCTCAATGGTGGAGTTAAGCCACAAAGTATTATAGAAAAATATGTAATGTTTTACTACATAGTTGTACTTTAAGTGTTATAGCCATCTAAATCAAACAAAGCAGGTTTCGGTCTCCACAGAAATTTCCAAACACGTGTTCATATATCACAGAAGAAATAATATATTTCAAGAAAAGTAATGCATAAATGCACAAAAAAAAAAACAAAAATACCAAACGAAAACAATCGAGAACAATTCGAAAATGTTGGTATGACTCAGGAAATTCTGGAACTAATGGATATATGGCGGAAATCAAAAAATAGGGACACTAACAAATACCGTGAAGTCACTTTGGCTTGATAATTCCCGTAAACAAATAGAATACCTCCAACAACAACACAGCAGTTTAAATCTCCACAAGAAACTTAAATATACTTGTCAAAATACACATATTTGTGAAAATGAGATGGACGAGAGGTCCCAGTATATTAAAATAAGAAGTCCGAAGGGCAATACAGCAACCCAAAATAAAAATAATGAGCCTGGACCAGAACAAATTCCTACTGAACTGATTAAACGTATGGATGAAGGAAGGATTATCTATTTAACTTCTTTCTTTAATAACATTTACAACCAAGAAAAAATAAAAGATGATTAATTATAGTTGTTGTACATTACACTGTCAAAGAAAAGCAGACACACCAAAGGCAGCGACGTGAGGTTGATCAATTTGATAAGCCTAACGTCGTAGCTGAATTTTATGTATAAATTATTTTGATAAATTCTACACAACCGAATTTTTTTTCTATGTGAATAGAAGCTGTATTTCTTCAAAGAGGCACAGATTTTTTGATAAATTCTACACAACCGAATTTTATTTCTATGTGAATAAAAGCTGTATTTCTTCAAAGAGGCACAGCTTTATAAGCGCGTTCTCCTACAAAACTTTCCGAAAGAACGTATACGTCTGCTTCATTAACTTTAAAGGAATTTGACCGAGTACCACCAGATACACTTTTAAGTACCTACCATCAGAAGTGAGGTTCCTACAGCCTCTGCTGCCTCTCACATTTCGACCGCCATCGTTTTCTGTCCATCCATTCGTCTTCTTTGATGGCTCTATCTCTCATTATGTGTCGTACATTTTCTTCCCAGGCAACTGAAGGCCTTCCCCTTCTTCTCCTTTGATGTTGTATGTAATTTAAAGCTTTCTTTTGCCATCTATCTTCATTCATTCGCTTCACGTGACCATACCACACTAGTGATCTCGTTTCAATTCTGTCTACACTGGAATATACAGTATTTGTCCTCCTTATAATATCTTAATTCCTGATATGATCTTTTTTGGATAAACCACACGCTCTCCTTAGAAAATCCATTTCTACTACTTCTATTCTTCTTCTGTCTTTTTTCGTGATCTGCCACCAAACTTCTGCCCCATAAGTCATAATAGGCTCTACCAAGCTTCGATAGATTGTCAATTTCGTTTCTTGTCTAATATCTTTAGACCATTGTAGAGAGTTTAGAATATTAACCGCTTTTTTTCCCTGTTGCGTTCTGTTTTCGATGTCTCTTTTGGTAGAGCCTTCCTTAGATATTATAGATCCGAGATATTTATATTCATTGCATGTTTTTGTGTTTCTAATTTCTAACTCTGGATCTTCTTCATCATCTCCTATTTTAAGATACTCTGTCTTTGACATATTCATATTAAGGTCCCATTTTTCATATTCTTTCTTTCTTTCTTTTTCGTGTCCGGATTCAAATGTATGATGTTCCGAGCCCTAATCCGGCTTACTGTGGGATTAGATTCTGTTCGATAGTATTTTCTACGCTTTGCATTATCATTCTTTTAAACAGCTTAAACAAGTGGCTTAGTATATTATAAATAATCGTTGATACTGTGATTTATTGTTTAATTTTAGTAACTCTCGATACTAATTGTGTCATTTTTTATTTTCAGTCGCTTCTTCCCAGTTTTGGAAAGGAGTCAGCACATGTGATAAAAAGAGGGCTGATGTGGCAACAACGCGACAGATTATTCAGCAGATGGAAGGAGCGATATTTCATCCTCACTAGAGACTATTTGCACGTATTTAGAAGGGCTTCAGGATCAGATCGAATTTCTGAGATGGGGCAATTCCTCTTCAAAGTTAAGCTCATCGATATCGTCAAAATCGAATGGGAGAATAAAAAATCTTATAGTACAGGTATGTAGGGAAATGTGTGTTTAATCTTTTTAGTTTATTTGATATCATTTTATTTTAACAACAAAAATGCAATAAAAACTTATTTATTTAAAAATATTAATTGTACTAAAATATTTTCTAACGACAAAGTGTTATACATTCGATAAAAACTGATCCTCTTTTCAGTTGCCTTAGTTCTTGGTAGGGATGGAAAGATTTACCTAAGGTCATCTGAGGGGCTCGAAGACTGGTTTGAATTGCTAGAAGAATGTATGTTCACTAGTAAGGAGAGAAGAAAAGCACTGAGGTATTCCCATAACGACAATAACAAACCGAGAGACAACAATAATATACCGAACTTGGATGAATGGATTGCTTCTCGTCAAAAAATTGGTAAGCCATTTATAATGTTTAGTTTAAAGGTCAATATTTTTTTGTTTAAATATTTTTTTTTATAAACAACCACATGTTACCTAATAAAAGTTCATATTTTTATATGAACGTGATATGATATTTCGATAAACATTAGTCTAATGAGGATAAATAGTTCAAATTGAATTGCAGAACTAAAGAAATTTAAACTATTCTTCTCTTTAAGATAAAGGTAATATTTAGTAAAAATTTAAGGTTATAAACAGATACACTGGAGACGAAAAACAGTATTTGGTTTGTTTTTATACTATTTGGACGATGGATTTTTACCAGTGATCCGTAGAACTAACTATTTTTGTACAACGTATCTATTGTAGTATTGAAGTCCGTACATTTTGTGAACCACAGCTAACGTCGATTATGGTGAAATTAAAATAGCAAATAAACAGTGACGAGGACGACTTAGTCTGAATAGCAAATAAAACTAACAACTCCAATCTCAGCAGATTGGAGTAGATCGGTAGCTCAGTAGCTATTCGCGTAACTGACTGGCTAATAGCGTTTGGTAAAAAAAAATATTTTTTGTACACGCTTATGACAAGTCAATCAAAAAAAAATATGTTTTACACGTGCGTTGTTTTTTGGTATATATATTTTTTTCTTGAAGAACAGAAAGTGAGACATATTTCGTATAATTTTGATTTTTCTCTTCGAAAACAATTAGCTTCACCTTGCCAATGACTTTATATTCATATATCTTCACCATTTTGCATCACTATATTTTCTTTTCTTATCTGCTTAATCTTTCTTGGAGTTTCGTAGTTCTTCTTGCCAAATCTGAAAACCAGATTTGGCTTCAAGTTCAAGTTACAAATGTTATATATTTTTTAATTTGTTTCAGAACTCTAACAAAAAATTCCATTATAGTACCACATCTCGCCTCGTTGTCTCGCCATCTTTCTTTTAAGTCTGGTGGTGTTGTAGTTGTTGTGTTTCGGAAGTCTTTTTTAGGCCTTAGTCTTGTGCCTCTTCAAAACGTATTTCTGGCTGAGGGTGGCAGTACTGGTCTCGTTGATTGTTGGACTTCAGTTGGGTGGTGATGGTGGTGGTCTGGTGTTCTGCGAAGGAGGCTATCTTGAGAAAAGAAAGGGCTTGATTACATTTAGGGTAAACAGAGCCTCCCTAGTACTTAACCCTTTCCTTCTTCTATATATATTCTCCAAGTATATCGTCCAAGACTACCCCTTGTGTTAAATGTGTAAATGAATTGTTTTCCAAAAATTAAATATATTTAGCAAATGGCACTTGTTTTTTTTTTTATTATGGGAATGTTATTTCTGTGATCTGCAAAATAATTCGTGTAGGTATATATTCAGTCAGTTTTTGTAATTGGTTGTTTAAGTGTGTGATGAGATTTTGTTCTCTGGCCTTTTCTACACCGACCAGACTTTTCCTGTTCGTTTCTATTAGGTATCTCTTTAACTTTTTTCTTATACATATTGAAAATATTAGTATCCAAAATATGGTTCTCGTGTTCTTCTTTTCTTTCTTTCTTTCTAATTCCTTTCTCTATATCTTGGAAATCTTTATTTCTCAATTTATTTATGTCAGATGCTTTTACAATAAATTTTTTTATCCTCTTTTAGTCTAATTTCTAATCACAGACACTACAGTATTACGATCCAAACCCACATCGGTATGTATAGAGGTGTAGTTTTCTATATTTGGTACCGATACAGTATCATAGTGAACAGCAGTAAGATAGTAGTAACAGAGTGGAATGCCTGCGAAGATGCTGCTGAATAACAAGAATGGATAGGAGAAGTAAATACTAAATTGGTATGAACAATTAAGAAGAACTAGCGACAGCAGATGGATAAAGAGAATAACCGAATGGAGCCCCATAGGAAGACCAGAGAGAACCCAGAACAGAGACGACCCCGAAGATCCTAGAGGAACGAAGTAGACGACGCCATGAATAAGAGAGGCCTATACGATGGGGAATGGGACAACAAAGAGAGATGGAAACGGTTGAGGGAGGGAAGGCAGTGAATACTGTAAAATCCCTGAATATATATATATATATATATATATATATATATATATATATATATATATATATATGTATATATATATATATATATATTTATATATTTATATATATATTATTATACTTCTTCTTCCACAAACGCGGAAGGAACAAAAATAATTAAGGAATCCATCGGAAGTAAGTTTTTAAGAAATCTGAAGACAAAATATGTATTAATTTTAAGATAGAAAGTTTGTATATTTGTAAATAGATAGATTAGTACCGAAATTTTATGACTTATAAAGAACTAAGCCATTCTAAACGAGTTATTGACAAACCATTTGTACATTATAGAAAATAAGCTGTTACCTGAAGGATTAGTCCGGTATTGTGTTGTATAAATCTTCTATTATGACTAAGGCAAAAATCTTTGAAATGTATAAAAATTATTTGTTTACAAGGAAATGACCATTGTTAAAAGATTAAAGTTCCTTGCTTGAAACGGTAATTAGCATTCCAACAAGTGTGTAAACAAATTTGGATTTTGTGATGAGACGATCTTTTTGGAAGGAGAAATCGACAGACCGAGGGTTGATAGAGTTTTTGTTGGTTCGAGAAGACAGTGATGTTTGAGTGATCGAAAAGAAAGGTTGCGTTCTCGACAGGCGGTGTGTTCGTGAGTTGGAGGCCGGCATTGTTAAGTGGATAAAGTTACCAGTCTTGTTAGCAGAATTGTGGAAGAAGTAGATTGCAAGTCGATGTAAAGAAATCCTTGAATCTAAAGTGTGCAGTTTCTGGAATACGTGTTAAATAGTTGTGGCACCAGGTGAGAAAAGAGATCCTTGGGTCACGAAGAAGTTATATGAATGTTTGAAGAAGTGATTTTCGTGTGTTAAGTGTTGGAGAATTGAGTCAGGAGGTTAAATTAAGTCAGTTAAATTGGCTGAAGGAGCAGATACTGAAACAAGAAGCCGAGGCGCAAGGTGGAAGAACACATTGCTGTGGAAGGTGGACAATTCTTTGTGTGGTCCTAAAACAATCCAGGGAAAAAAGGTCAGATATTTTCCTTTTTCAAGTTGAAAGGTGTGTAAATCTTAAATGCGATTTGTTTACCTCATTGTTGTTACCAGTTTAAAGCATGATTAGACCTTTTTACATTTATCAAATGTTTTAAAGTTTTGTTTCCATAATAAAATAGATTTTTTAAATATAAGGAAGATAAAAGTTTATAAAGGTATCCAAATTTAAATTAGTTTCAAATTGTTTTGTCTCAAGAAGAAAATAAGAATTAAAATTTTCTTTTGTTATTAATTTCATTACATGCATATTCGCTGATTGAAAAGATAACGGCAAATTTAATAATTGTTTGTTTTTATAAAATAAAAAATATCTGTATTTTATGTATTATACTTTTTATTATTATCCTTTGTTTTTCCTATCCCGATAAATACAACTAGAAAACTGTGAACTCACTGAACATAAGAAATATCAGAAGTTTATTTTTTAGGACATTGATAACGAGAAAGTATATTTTTGTGATTGTTTCAAGTAAATAAATTAAAATCAAAAATACAAATCATAACAACTGTCGCCCAAACGTGTGAAGCTTAGAAAGTATTTCTAGTTGGAATTTAAAAGGATAGGGAAAGAAAGCAGGTTGATTGAGAATTTATTTCCGATGGTCAAAGTTTATAATAACTGCATTTTATGACATAACATTTCAAATTTCTCTAGGTACAAATTTTGCATGATATATTTTATTATATTTGATTGATTTTTACAATTGACAAAAGTTTTAAATTTTATTGCATTTATTTAAATTTATTGCATTTGGGATAAGAGAAAATTTTTTCGTCTTTGCAACATTACTCGAATTTCATATTTGGCGGGGATATTATTGCACAAATTTAAGAGTTTCATATCAGGCGGGGATAAATTTGAACTACATGTCGATCACGAGAAGCAAAAGCAAAGAAAACAAAAAACAAGAAGAACATATAGAACAAGAAGACATTTTTGAAACAACAATCATGGCATCAGAACAACAGGAATTGTCAGGAATAGAGAAAATGTTACAAATAATGATGCAAAAAATGGATAAAGTGGATAAAACAATGGAACAGAATCAAAGAGAAACTCACAAGAGAATGGAAGAAAATCAACGTGAAACGAAACAAGCAATAGAAAAAAACCGACAGGAAACACAACAAGTGATAAAAGAAGTTAAAAGGTTGCTTAGAGAATGTTAAAAAAGAAATGGCAGAACAAGAGGTGGAAATTAAAAAAATGAAAAACAAAATGGAAAAGGAATTAGAAGAGTTAGAAACAAAGTTTGAAAACGCTCTGCAAGAAGATAAGGAAGAAATAGAAATAAGAGTGAAACGGAATGAAAATTTAATTAAGGAAATAAGACACCAAAATAGAGTCGGAGAAACAAGAGAAATAGTTATCCAGAATTCCGGCGAAATAAAAATACAGTTTGGCGGGGATGTAAGAAAACTACACCCCGTACCGTTCATGAATAATCTAAAGAAGAAGATACAATACATGGGAAATTTTGAGACAGCTAAGGAAGTTATCAGAAATCATCTCAAAGATGAGGCAAGTCTATGGTTTGACAGCAAAGTGGAGGAATTTGAAAATTGGCAAGAATTTGAAAACAAATTTCTGAGTTTTTTTCTGGGGAAAGACAGAGCAATTACAGATAAATAAGGAATTGCAAAATGGGAAATACCATGAGAAGATGGGTATATCAGAAAAAACATACGCATTGCAAATGTACAATAACGCAAAACATCTGCAATACAATTATTCATCTGAGCAATTAGTCGAGTTGATTGCAAGACACTTTGAAGACACAATGGAAGACCACATAAATTTACAAAACTACAAAGATATCGATAGTTTATGCCAATTCCTACAAATAAGGGCATCACGGATACAGGAAAGAAGAGCAAGAAGGTCACAAGAGAATTATAGACATCGAGAAACTCAGGAATACAGAGAGAGAGGACAAAATTTTAGGAGGGATTACACTAGACGAGAATTTATTCCCAGGAGGGAAAACGAGAATCGGGAAAATAGAAGAGGAAATGATGATTTCAGAAATCGGCCATGGAATGAAGACAGATATCGAGAAAATCAAAACAGAAATAACACCCGCACATATCCAGAAAACAGAAATTACAATAGACGAAATGAACAGGAATATCGTGGAAACCGAAACGGATATGACAGACCAAAAGAAAATAGAAGAGAGGTAAATCATACACAAATAGAAGAAAATGAGGATGAAAGAAATAGAGATGAGAGAAGAAATACGGAAGAACAACAGTCGGTTTTTCACGAAAGCACCCACTAAAAAAAAAAAAACCAGGCAGGAATTTTTTGTCACCCGAAGGAATTCATTAAATTGGCAGGAAATAATGAGGAAAGAAGAGGAGTTAATTTAAAATTTGTAGATGGTTTCATTAACAATAGACCAATAAAGATTTTGATAGACACCGGGTCAGAAATAACCTTAATAAACAGAAAATTAATAGAAGAAGTACAGTTGACAAATTTAATATACAAAATACCAAGGGTAAATTTGGTGGGTGCGAATAAACGGATTTTGGCAACGATAAATGAAGGCATACGAGTGATGGTACGACTGGATAAAAAAATGTATGCATTACAATGTGTAATAATGCCAAACATGTCGCATGACATGATTGTAGGAGTGGACGAACTGGCAGAAAAACATGTAGTAATAGATTTCAAAAATAACACGATGAAACTGACTGAAGAAAAGGAAGGAGAACAGGAAAACGAACATGGGAAACAGAAAATTGATATTTCGGAGAAAGAACAAACAGTGGAAATGAATCTGGCAACGAAGCAAGGACAAAGAAGAAAAAGGAAAAGACTTAAGAAAAGGATAAAGGAAGTCAATACCGGGGATTCCTCAAAAGAAGAGATGAGCCCCGAAGAAGAAGAAGAAGAAAGAATATCAACAAAGGAAGATGAAAACGACATAATTGAAACAGTGGTTTTTAGGGAAGAGATTAATGAAAAAGAGGATGAAGAATGGACGATAAATATGTGTCAAGAATCTGAGGAAAGAGAAATTAAATTGATGTGTGGAGAAGAAAGAGAAAATGAGTTGCGTTTGATATTAAAAAAAATACGAAACGTTGATAAATGAGGAAAACAGAGTGGCCAGAAAGTACGAACATTCATTTGAGGTAAAAAACTTGGGAAATTTTCGATCGAAAACGTACCCGATTCCATATAAGTATCGACAACAGGTGAAAGTAGAAATGTATTTAAATACCATCCCAAGCACCGTAACGAAAGAAACCCCAGAATATATAATGAAAGGGATAATGCCGATAAGGCCATGGGAAGATATAAAACAAAAGGAATACACACAGATAATGGAAGATGTGCAAAGGAGATTGCGGAGAGCAAACGAAAAATATATCCAGAGACAAGATCAAAATAGGAAAAGAAGACCAGTTACTTTCCAAAAAGGTGAGAAGGTTATGGTGGAGAGCATTGCGAGTGTCCAACATCCCGGCAATGTATGCGCAAAGTTAATGCCTGTTTTTGAGGGTCCTTACGTAATAAACAATGATAATGGTATAAAATAGTTATGTTTTGAAGCATTTGGATTCAGACAAGATTAGGGGAATATATAATATCAATCGATGTTTATAAATATTATGAATAAGAGACAAAGAATGTTTGCATAAGAGAAAAATCCCTACATAATTCAGTAATTTTTATCATATGCAAAGGCGGGGATTTATTATACTTCTTCTTCCACAAACGCGGAAGGAACAAAAATAATTAAGGAATCCATCGGAAGTAAGTTTTTAAGAAATCTGAAGACAAAATAATGTATTAATTTTAAGATAGAAAGTTTGTATATTTGTAAATAGATAGATTAGTACCGAAATTTTATGACTTATAAAGAACTAAGCCATTCTAAACGAGTTATTGACAAACCATTTGTACATTATAGAAAATAAGCTGTTACCTGAAGGATTAGTCCGGTATTGTGTTGTATAAATCTTCTATTATGACTAAGGCAAAAATCTTTGAAATGTATAAAAATTATTTGTTTACAAGGAAATGACCATTGTTAAAAGATTAAAGTTCCTTGCTTGAAAACGGTAATTAGCATTCCAACAAGTGTGGTAAACAAATTTGGATTTTGTGATGAGTCGATCTTTTGGAAGGAGAAATCGACAGACCGAGGGTTGATAGAGTTTTTGTGGTTCGAGAAGACAGTGATGTTTGAGTGATCGAAAAGAAAGGTTGCGTCTCGACAGCGGTGTGTTCGTGAGTTGGAGGCCGGCATTGTTAAGTGGATAAAGTTACCAGTCTTGTTAGCAGAATTGTGGAAGAAGTAGATTGCAAGTCGATGTAAAGAAATCCTTGAATCTAAAGTGTGCAGTTTCTGGAATACGTGTTAAATAGTTGTGGCACCAGGTGAGAAAAGAGATCCTTGGGTCACGAAGAAGTTATATGAATGTTTGAAGAAGTGATTTTCGTGTGTTAAGTGTTGGAGAATTGAGTCAGGAGGTTAAATTAAGTCAGTTAAATTGGCTGAAGGAGCATATACTGAAACAAGACGCCGAGGCGCAAGGTGGAAGAACACATTGCTGTGGAAGGTGGACAATTCTTTGTGTGGTCCTAAAACAATCCAGGGAAAAAAGGTCAGATATTTTCCTTTTTCAAGTTGAAAGGTGTGTAAATCTTAAATGCGATTTGTTTACCTCATTGTTGTTACCAGTTTAAAGCATGATTAGACCTTTTTACATTTATCAAATGTTTTAAAGTTTTGTTTCCATAATAAAATAGATTTTTTAAATATAAGGAAGATAAAAGTTTATAAAGGTATCCAAATTTAAATTAGTTTCAAATTGTTTTGTCTCAAGAAGAAAATAAGAATTAAAATTTTCTTTTTGTATTAATTTCATTACATGCATATTCGCTGATTGAAAAGATAACGGCAAATTTAATAATTGTTTGTTTTTATAAAATAAAAATATCTGTATTTTATGTATTATACTTTTTATTATTATCCTTTGTTTTTCCTATCCCGATAAATACAACTAGAAAACTGTGAACTCACTGAACATAAGAAATATCAGAAGTTTATTTTTTAGGACATTGATAACGAGAAAGTATATTTTTGTGATTGTTTCAAGTAAATAAATTAAAATCAAAAATACAAAATCATAACAATATATGTATATATATATATATATATATATTTTATATATATATAAAGATTTTTATTGAATATAGACCACATACCCGATATTTCCAACAACTGATAAATTGTTTTTTGGTCGAAATAATCACATTAAATATATATATATATATATATATATATATATATTATATATATATATATATATATATATATATATATATATATATAGTATCATTCTATGTACTCGCTATCTAGTTTCTCAATTTTTTTGTACAGTAGATAGATAATGAACACTGTATTCTATGCCACAAGTAGGCAATATTTTTTTCATTCCTGTAATTTTTTATTTTTTTAGATTTAGGACGATTAGTAACTGCAAGTATGAACTCAAGACAAGAAACAACAGTACGAAGGCGATACAGGCCACAAACAGAAGACGATGACTGGATACCTCCCTCATTGGATAATAGACTTTCTCGTAAGTATTTGCAACAATTTTTTTTTAATTGGAAGAAAAAGACAAATTTTTTAAATTATCTTCAAGAGATGTATTAATTATATTAATGCGTAGCTTAATTAAAATTGTGGCTAATTCCCAATAAAAATAGTCAACTGTATTAAGATATGTACCACAAGAAAATTCTTCTTCTTCTTCTTCAGCCTGAAGTAATCCAACTTTGAACATAGGCCTCCATCAAATCAATCCAATGTTTTCTATTTTGCGCCACTTGCTTCCAGTTGTGTCCTCCGATCTTCTTAATGTCATCAGCCCATCTCATTTGTGGTCTTCTTCTGCTTCTCTTTCCCAACCGTGGTCTTCATTGTTGTATTTCGTGGTTCCATCTCTTATCTTCAGTCGGGCATTGTGTCCCCTCCTTTGCGTCTTTTACTTTGATTGTGCTTATAATCCATTTATTTGTTTATTTGTCTGTAAGTGTCACCCTGAGCATTGATCTTTCCATCGCTGTTTGTGCTTTTACTATGTTATCCATATTAGACTTACCATAAGAAAATAGCTCCAACAAATCAGTCTGGAGTCATTCGATTACTGACTTTTATTTCGCGCATGTTATCCCTTTTATGTTGTTTTGATGGTCACAAATTCTTAACTAACGAATGGAATTTGTTACAACGTTGTATTTGGTCCTTCATATTTCTTGAGATTAATTTAAAAGACACTATAGAACACATACGAAACGATAATAATTTTTTAAAGTATAATAACACAAAAATGAAAAGGAACCCGAACATTTATCGGGAGCCACAAATAACCCTACAAAGAGTCCCATGTAGTTCATGAGCTGCAGTTTGGCCACCCCTGGTATATACTGAACATTATTTGTTTCCACTGGACTTCAGGTAAGTCCCTTTCATTTTCAGATGGTGCAAAGTAAGGTTTGTGGGTTGGTAACTAAGCCGCATCTATAGAATAATATTTATTTCTGTTTCTGTTTTAAACGAAGTTTATAACTTCGAATTGATATTGGAACAAAAAAAGAAATATAACTAACTTAATTTAAAAACTATAATTTTCTTTACTTACCTGTGCTGTACAGTATGTACTTACATAATTTTGTTAAAGATATTTTACACTAATTCTAAACTCAAATTTATCTTTCACCGTAAGCTATCAAAAGCTTTGGGCAACATTCATCCTTTCCAGTTCTTTTTAAAACAGACAAAAATACACAAATTTTCCTCGACATATTCCAATCCAAACACAGGGTGCAATCGTTCTTCAATAATATAAAATAATAATTTTAATATGACCCCCACTCATATTCTATGAACTAACATAAATTACATATTTATAAAGATAAAACGAAGTCTCGCTTGGGAAAAAACTGTGTTAGGGATCGTCTTCCTTTGGTAGTAAAATTATTTTGGAAAAAAAAATTCAAGGTGTCTTAAATAAACCACTAAAAATTTTCTGCTGTGCGTTTAGACTGTAGCCTATGTTATGTTTTTCATCGAATGCCGCCTCAGTATTTTTGAACAGCCGAAAAAAAATTTGAAAAAATGTTTTAAAAACCATTTTCAACGCAATTCGAGATGTACTTCACAAAAATTACCTGTCATTCGCTGTCAATTGTCAATTTAATGTTAATCGTTTTAAAATTATTAATCAAGCAAAGTTAGTATTTTTAAGTATTAAGTATCGTTTATATAGCAGACGTACATTAAAATAAACTATAAATTATTTCTTGTCAATAAAAGACCATCTGTTGTTGTATCTAACAGTGTAAAGACCGATTTTTATGTTTTATCTAACTGCTCTTAGCAGTATAAATGACGTTGATTTCATACAGTTTTACAATAACAGTATCCCATTACTGTGATGTGCATCTGACCGTCACAATGAGGAAGGTGAACGAGAAGTCGACTTTGATAGAAAAGGTATCATTACGCGGCAAGCGCGAACTGTACTTATGACAATTTCTCCAATTGTGCTAGTTTTAATTTATAGCAATGAATCGGAAATAAACGACTTAGGAATACGTAAACTATAAATTTTATGATTTAGTTAATGGTTGTTTCAAAAAGGAAATAAATAGTATAGTCCATTGAAATGTTACATTTTTATGCCTTAGTTTTAACTTAGCTTTAAGTTCAAGTTTGTAGTGTCGTCACCCTTATCCCTTGACCATCCTCTTTGAAAAAGGGTAAAAGATTTTTCGCGATATATCTCGTAAACTAGCAACCTTACAAAAAATTTTATAAGAAATTATTTGTAGCAAATTAAATTGTCTATAACTTTATTTTCATTACTTTTAACCATAAAATGAAAAATAAAAATGTTAAAAGCAAAAATAATTAAAAATTTTGGAACAAATTTTCTTTTTGGGCCTTTTTTTCAAGCGAACTCATAACTTTTTTCGGGCGAAATAAATAAACTCAGATGAAATATTCAATTAATATCAAAATATAATTAAATATTATTTGGTAGTAAATTTAATTATTGTATAAACTAAATAAGATGTTTAAAAATAATAATTGTATATAGGTATATGGAATTATTTTAAAACGAGTGATGTTATAAAAATTTAAACAGATGAGTCAATATTGTTTTAAGTAATTGACAATTTTATAACTTTTAAATTTTGTTAATCGTTGCGAATCGAATCTTTTATTGACAGATATTCTTTAAATTTTTTAATTCTCATTTAGTTTCTGTATTTTGTTATTTTATTATTTTTCATGCAGCCATTCTAATTTAAACTCGCTAAAATAAATATATGATGACTAGACACGCAGTGATCGAGAGTAGTGAATCAATGTGAAGAACAGCTATTTTGTAACCCCGCCCGTGACGACGCCATATTGTGACGCTAATTCCGTGACGACGCCATCTTGTATTGCTAGTTCCATAAAAAAAATAATATCAATGCCAGTATTGAGTAAGATATGTAAAAAATATGCCCTTGATTTTTCCACTCATTATTGTTGCTTACTAGTATTTATTTCGTCAAAGACCTATCATATATCATATTTTACTGTCTTATTCATATAAAAATAAACTGTCAAGTTTATTTTCGGTGTATATTTCTCCAGATATTCCTCAATATCTTTTATGATCTATTCAGTAGCATCAACTTTTACCCAATTGTGGTATAATTTTTTTTAAACTCAATACTTTACCATGCGAAGTACATTTGTTGACTATATATTCCTTCCTACTATCAACAGGGTTGGGAGATTGTTGAGAATTGCATGGTACTGATATCTTACCCATAACATCAACAGAATTCAAAAAAAGAATTCAAGGCAACCACAAGACAATGCAGAAGTCAGAATGGCGACCTATTAACAACAAGGAAAGATGTATTGAATACTTTAACCAGGTTCTCTAGTAGATGCAGTTAAAAACTAGCCAGAACAAATCATCCGGAATAGATAATCTCCCAGCTGAACTATATAAAGAAGATGGCCATGATACCATAATGGCATTACAGCAGCTTATAAAAGAAATATGGACACGGAAACCCCGCCCCCTCCCCAATTATTGGAATATTGGAACACATTGCACCATACACAAAAAAGGAGACATCTTTGAATGCTCTAACCACAGAGGAATTACACTTCTAAATGCAGCGTGTAAAATATTTTCCACAGTACTATGGCACCATATATAGAACGGATAGTAGGAAAATACTAGGCTGGCTTCAGAGGTGGTAGATCGACAATTCATCAGATTGCAACCCTGAAACAAATTTTTAAAAAAACACTCGAATATGGCATTAATACTCATCACATATTTATAGACTACAAAGCAGCCTACGATTCTGTGAATAGAAGAGAAATGTTCAAACCAATGAAAGAATTAGTACTACCAAATCAGTTGGTAAATTTAATAAAACTAACTCTTGAAAAAGTTGAATGAAAAATACGAATTCAGGGAACTGTCTGAACCTTTTAAAACAAATAACGGGCTGCGCCAGGGAGACCCCCTTTCCTGTTTATTGTTCAACCTGGCTCTGGAAAAAGTAATACGTAGGTCACAAATCACAACCACTGGTTCATTATATAATAAATCAGTGCAAATCCTGGCCTATGCTGATGATATCAATATTGTTGGGAGAACGAAACGCCCTGTACGAGAGGCGTATGTAGTATTAAAAGAATCAGCTACAAAAATGTGTTTAATAATAAATACCACCAAAACGAAATATATGAAAATAAGCACACAACCACAAATCGTACGACCACTTGTTATAGAAAACGACGTCATTGAAGCAGTGAACCAATTTGTATACCTGGGAGCGCTCCTTAACACTGAAAATAATACTACCGCAGAGATAAACTGCAGAATTTGCACGGCCAAGAGATACTATTTTGAGTTCAATCTCCTCCTTAAATCCACAATTATACCGAGAAATACAAAAATAAAACTCTATAAAACAATAATACGCCCAGTCCCAAAAAATGGTTCAGAGACCTGGACTCTAACAAAAAATAATAAAAACATGTTAGGATGGTTCGAAAGAAAAGTACTAAAGCGAATCTATGGAGCAGTGAATGACAATGGAGTATGGAGAAGACGATAGAACTTTGAACTTTGTAGAATATACCAAGAACCAGATATCAAAAAAGAAATACTAAGATAGGACATCTGAGGTGGATCAGGCATGTAATGCGGATGGAACAAAATGACCCAGCTAAAAAACGCTCCTTGGTCAGAGAAGAAGAGGAAGACCAAGAACAAGGTTCCTTGATAAAATCGATGAAGACATGAGAAATATGGGAATACGTACTTGGCGGAGAAAGGCGATAGATAGGGACGACTGGATAGAAATTATTGAGGAAACTAGGACTCACGTAGGGTTGTAAAGCCAGAATGATGATGTTATCTTACCCATATTCAGTCGCCAGAGCCTCGTTTTTTATATAGCATTATGCGTATTTACATCTTTTACATTGTATTACACATCCATCGCATAAATTTTTCTCTTGTACTTTTAATTAACTCTTGGTTGGTCT